CTGTCTGTAAGTGACCTTTGTGCAAATTAATTAAACACTTTTGTTAAACCAGCAAATCATTATTTTACAGGCAGGCTGCCTGACAGGTAGAAAGCAGACATTTGCTTGAAAGTAGAATAATCCTATAATCCTGTTATTATATTTCAGCGCCTCAATTAATTAAAATAGGCTTTTTTCTCTCTTTTTGGCAAAGAAAGTGAAGAATCAATGGTGTGCGCAGAACAGCTCGACTTTCGCAGAAAAGTTTGCTCTGGTTCTATCGACACTTTATTCGTTTCTTAATTTATCCCCCGTCTCTTCTCTCCCACGGTTTTCTCTGTCGGTGTGACATTTGCCAGCCACCGCCTGCGCTCTCTCAACTCGCCTGGCAGCATCTCATGCGCTGTCCTCACTTTTTCAAATTATTGTCACAGTTTAACTGGAGAACACCTCTGTGTAAATCAATGTTTGTTTCATAATTTTTGTGATATTTGGAGCTGCAATGGCCTTATCTCTTGGGAAACCAGATGTCAATTTCATCTGCTCAGAGTCAGACCCTAATTATGTTCAAGCTGGCTGTTTGAAATATACATTTAAAAAAAAATTAAATTTTTTTTTTTATATTTCATCCTACCGTGCTTTATTTCTCCTCTAAATGCAACCATAAATTATATTCATTGAAAAAATTGCTTTATCTATACAAAAAAATCAATCAGTGTTGTCCAATGTTGTAATGGACCTCACTGATATCCATTTTATGGGTATGGCCAAAAGAATACTACACTCTTAAAAATAAAGGTGCTTCAAGCGATGCCATAGAAGAGCCATTTTTGGTTCCACAAAAAAACATTCAGTCAAAGGTTCTTTAAAGAACCATCTCTTTCTTACCTTTTTATAAATGCGTCTTTGTTCGCGCGAATCATTCACGATCCAGCCTCATCTACAGAACAAGTGAGTATAATGTTTTGTAATGAATCTTTGCAAATCGCCTTTCCTAATAATGTGCTAATTAGCAAGTTTCACGATGAATGCGGCTAAAGTAAACAGTCTCTCTGAGAGCAGCTCGGAAGAGAGGGGCGGGGTCAGCAGAGCTCATTAACATTTAAAGGAAAATGCTACAAAAACGGCTTGATTTGAAAAGAGCTGTTTTTGACAGGGTAAAAAATGTTTTTTACACTACCATTGAGAAATTTTAACCAAACTATGTTACAGACTTTTCATTAAGACCCTAAAGAATCATATCAACTTGTGGAAAATGGGCGTCATATGACGCCTTTAAGATGTACACTGCAAAACTGACAGGTGCTGTTTCTGCTTGATTTGACCCTTAAAATAGCTTTTGATGGCGTACAGTTAATATTAAATAAATATTAAATGTTAAGTAAATATATTCTGCAATAATACATTATATTTTGACTTGATTAAACCAGTTAATATAGATGAAGCTAGGTTTTAGGTGACCTAGCAAAATATTTTTACAGTGACAGCATAGCTCTTTTACATAAATTGAGACCCACCATCTATCACAATGAACATCATTGTGAAGTGTAGGTACTGTGTAAGAAATTTAACTCAACGGTAAGACTCGTTATGCTATTGTTTTCACGTTTACTTTACAACTGTATTATTAGTATTATTTTGTAGTACTTTAACCCTATAAGGCTATTGTGTCACATTTACTACATGAGATTCTAAGGCATCTAAATTATCAACATGATCAAAACTGCTGAAAAACCTTAGTGCTCTTGCACACTGCACTTAAATGTTTAGGTTCACTTGATTTGTTGTTCATATATTGTACTTAAAGGTGCTGTATGTAGGATTGACACCGAGTGGTTGAACTAGGTATTGCAGTCCAAATTCAAAATATTGGAGAGGGTTTTTTTCACCCGGCCCCTCCTCCTCAGACTTGATGCACACGCAGGTTGCCAGATTGACAGGAACGAGCGCACCTGACGATGGAAAGCATTGAGCCCTACACTGTAAGTTGATCAGCTAATGTGTACGTTTGCAATATTTGTATTGTTTGCAAATTATAAACCACCTCATGTGTATTTTTATAAATCTGAATCTGCGTCTCACTTCGGAGGCTGCTGCTGCGTCCTCCGGAGGTCGCATTTGTCGGCCGCATACATTGAGGCGGCCCAGTTGTAAACGTAATGAAGTAGACTGTTATCATTGTGAGGTGTAAAATACTATAATTTATTTCTTACTTTGAAATCTAATGGTTCATTTTCTCAAACGAGACTGTCTCAATTAATTATGCATAAATTACACATAGACAGTTAAACCCGTTATGCCGAAAACATAAGCTCACTACTCTGCAAATACACACTCTGGAGTTAGTATTTTTTACTTGTTTCCTTTCCCTAGTAGCCAGGATACATCAGTTAACCAACTTTAGCTAATTACTTACCTGTTAAGGAGAAAATTAGCCAAATCAGCATTCGTTTTTAACCCTTTGTCTATTTTAAGCTGTCTCCATCTCTCAAACGCATCTCCAATATTTATCCTGCTTTTATTATACCGTTGTTGATCATAAAGTTTTTGGGATGGATGTCGAGGCTTTTTAGGATGGGCAAAAAGTTCTATTTCCCGCTCTGACCGCTTTCGTTAGCCAGCTTCCATGACTGAAATGAAATAGCTGTCAACTGGCAACCCGGGGTGCCGAAATACAATTGGGTAAACTGGCAGTGGGCGGGTTTCACAAACCAAAACAGAGACCGACATTCCGGCCCGAAGCTATTTGCTCGTCACGTCGTCTAGTTTGAAGCCCGTGGAGGAAAGGTCTTTGTGAGATCAGCGTTTCAATTTCATGACAACATTCCTTTAGGACTGCTTACAGGGTAAAGAACCAAAAACTCCTTACCACGAAGAGATTAATACAGCTCCTGGATCTACAGTTGTAGACTACTGCTGTATTGCTGACCACTACACCACAGGGTCAACTGTAAGTGCCTTTGAGGCTGTCAATGCATCTTTTACCACATTTAAACACATTTTATTTACGTGTCACCCTAGCACCATTATGGAGAGTATCGTGATGCATGCATGTGGTGTAGAACATGCATGCATCATGATACTCTCCATAATGGTTATTTTTGTTTTCTTTGCACACAAAGTGTGTGTGTGTATGTATATTTAAATTTGTGTTTTCTAATAATTGTCGCAGGTGCTTGCAGAATTTCATCGAATCGCAAACCAAAATCTGCAGCATACCTTCTACACTGCCCTGGACATGCACACTCCTCAGCTCCTGAAACTTTTCAGAGCCAAGGCAGCGAAGGGTGGTGCCAGTGGCAACCAGATGGCTGAAATGTTCAGAGACTATGATGAACAAGTAAGTAGAATTCCCATTGACCATATTGATTTAACAAACTCAAAAAAACTGATTAACTCATGCATACACAGCCCATACAAAAAAAAGGTAGCACAAATCCAACATCAAACCTCATTGGTTCTCACACACCACATGACTGACATCATGACACGCAAGAACCAGATGTTTGATGTAATATATATTTCCACCATTTTTATTTAATTTCACTCTGTTCATCATTCAGAGTGATTGCATTGCTTCATAAGAATACCAGTCGAGTCATGTAAGTTGTGGTCATCATTGACTTTTCTATTATAAACAAAAAAATAGAAAAATTTTAGTCTAATTAAGTTCACTTGTTCGTTTTACTTAGATACATTGTAGCTAATGTAGGTTAGCCTCTTCATAAAATCGCTATATGTTGACTATATTACCAACAACAAATAACAAATATCTGATACAATTTTTTTCATGTATTTATTGCTTTAAGGAATGTGTTTTAGAAATACAAAATCAAAGCAGCCAGAGAAAAATTAATGCTTAAGAAGGATGGGCGGATCGATCCTTAAGTATCCTTAAGATCCTCACATAAAAATATCGATTCTAAAGTGCATTTTTTAAAACATTAATTTTATTTACTTATGAAATTCAGCTTTGACCACAGATACATTTTAAATTACATTTTAAAATATATAAAAATAGAAAATAGTTATTTTTAATTTTTATATTTCTCAATATTGCTGCTTTTACTGTCTCCCCCTTCTTCAAATAAGTGCAGCCTTGGTGAGCATGAGACTTAAAAACAATACTACAAAAAGCATGCATAGGCTACTTGTATGGTACTAATATGCTCACTTTTAGGGGTATAGTTGCACCTTTGAGGTTACTGCCCCAGTAAAGGGCTAAAATATACAATTATAGTATATTTTATTTCTAAATGTGTAAACAAAAAAGATGAAATGTTAAAAAACATAGCTTTAAAATCTAATGTTAAGTGAGTATAATTACTGATTATATATTCTTTTAATAATTTAAAAGATCAGTTTAGTTTAGAAGTATCGGTATCAGTATCGATATCAGCATATTTTTATGCATTTTATGTAAGTAGTCTGCTATATTGTCTATCTAAATATCAGCAAAGTGCATAAGTTTGGGCCTCTTAATAAGTTTTTTTTTTTCTTTCTGTAGTATGATAATATGAGCCATAAAAGCTGGATGTATTAAGTATATGATACTCACACAAAAAAAAAACATATGCAAACTGTTTAAAAAATAGATTTAAAAATGTTTTGTCTAAATGTTTAATGAACTGTTAATTAAAAAATCGGGACTTTTATTTCAAATTTATTATGTCATTCAATGCCATGCTTCATTTTTGCACTTGCTTCACTTCAGAAACGCTACAAAAGGCGATGTCCATTGGAATAAACGCTGGGTCGCTGAGTTTGAAAGTCTTCCAAAAGCACTTTACTTTAAGAATCATAGAAAGGCGTGGACTTCTGGTGATTTGGGTTGACATTTTTGACCACTGAATCAAATTCCATTGATTAGAAGACCCTCTCGAGCTCTGCTGACAGAGAACGGTCTCCGTGGCGACATCCAGGCTGATGGCGCGCGCTCTCTCTCTCCCGGCCCCCACCCCCTTCCACATGGAGCCCAAGCTCACACGAAACCTGCGCGCAGGTCTCAGCTGAGTATCATTTGCTTTAGAAGTGCCTTGAGCGCTCATCGTGCTCGTTAAGACATCTTATTGACTACTAGTTGTGAGAGAACGCAACAGAATCAAGCACTATTTTATCCAGTTTGCGTGTAGATTGATGGTATGAATCATCAAATGATTTTAGGAGATACTTTTATTACTTTTTCTCCTCATGAATCTTACTGGACTCAACAGGCAGTTGCAGAAATTGAGTTGATGCCATAAGAGTCTCGACTGTCGTCAGCTTCAGTTTTCTGCGTCTCCGCTCAGGATGAACGGAACGTTTTTTAACCACACGGTGTTTACGCACGGCGTTCTGCTCAACCGCAGTCAAGAGCTCGCGGGGACACTAGTTGATTGCTGCACGGGGAACGGGAGCGAGGTAACCGCAAATGACGGTGGCGGGTCTTTAGTTCTCGCTCAGGACGAACGCAAGTTGTTCGTTACGCGCGTGGTGCAAATCGCGGTGCTGTGCGTTCTTTCACTCACCGTGATGTTCGGGATCTTCTTTCTCGGTTGCAACCTCATGATCAAGTCCGAAAGTATGATCAACTTCCTGGTCAAGGACCGGAGACCATCCAAAGACGTTGAGGCGGTGATGATCGGACTGAGTTAGCCACGGGTGTCACCTGTTCACACCCGGTTGTCCTCAGACTGGAAGCCGAAGATATGCAACTTACATTTTCACTCCCTTCGCGTTCCGGAAAGAAAAGGCGAAGTGGATGAACTGAAGCAAAGATGACAGATATAAAGCTGCACGTTTACGAAATGAGAATGTATTTATTCCTGTTTACTTAGCTTTTTGTATCTGAGGTCATTTTGCTTGTGATTTTTTACAGTGAAGTGTTTACACGTTTTTACCTCAGAAAAAAAAATCAAAGTATGTATTTATTGCATTATGTTTGTTAAAGTCTGCAAATTATAGGCTACCGGGGAGGGTTTTGGTCTTGCGAAACGAAAATTGTAGCCGTCTTTGGTGCACCTATTCTAAAAGTTGGTTATCTAAAATACTTTCAACAAGTGATAAACGTGTGCTTTTTCGACGGACCCGCACAAAATTGGTCGTAATGGAAAGCACAACGTGTTTGTCATGGTGAACAGTAACATTTATCATTACTGAAAACCCTGTTGAAATATTCTTGCATAAAAAAATGTTAATTTACTAAAACCCTAACAATCTCATATTTTGACTCCCTTTTGGTGGAGGGGGGTTCAAGCCTTATTACTGGAAATATTCTGACTTCCCCAATCCCACCATCCTGGTTTGTACTAGACAATCACTTTCAAAAGCATGTTGTTTTGTGAACGGTGACTTTTGCACCTTGAATTACAGCTTGAATTGTTTTGATTTTGAAGATGTCACAATGTATTTTTCTTCAAGTTTAACTTGTTGCCGAGAGCACGTGAGGGGGGAGATGCTCATCTGGTGGCGCACTTGCACGTTTTCAATGCCTCCTTCCCCGATCACACCGGCTGACGTCTCTCCCTCTGCATGCGCGGTGCTCGGTGTGTCAGGCACTTTCTAGGTAAAGACCTCAATGCTGCATGGAGTATTTTGTAAAATGTATTGACTTGGAAACTTGAAATTGTGCAGCATGCTGAATTGAATAAAGCTGTTTAAAACATCTCAGTGCATTTGTTTATTTATCTTTAAAGGCCAGACATTCAGAACTGAAATAACTGGCCAATTCTGGAAAAAAAAAAATCCATAAAAAAGGTTGCATAAGTAGACTTTCTTATGGTTAAATGCATATCTTACATATTTGCTTCTTCATGCATCTTCTTCAATAAGTTTTTGTTATTCAATGATGCATTTTATCTGTGGGAATCCTTTTTTCTCTTCATTTTTAATTATGATTTGAACACATGGGCATTAAGAAAACTGATTTTAGAAAAGAATAGCATGATAGTATAAAATAATCAGTTTAAATTTTATAAGTCAGAGAAAAGAAATTAATATTTTTTGTAGGATTCTACAAAATTATAGTCTATTGTCCTGAGGTAGAAGTATAGGCTACATGTAACCGATGAATCTGCTTGCATTACAAAAAATGCATACAAAATAGATATTTTACACATTATATTAAAGTAAAAGACCTTCACTTGAGCGAGTTGTGGAGTATGATGCAACTTCGAAATGTTCAAAGAAGGGCTGTGTTTAGACTGAGTCAAAAGTAATAATTACGTTGCCTATTTTTTCCTTTTAACACTCTCTAAAGCAAATAACAAGGCTTATTCACTCGGCTTTGATGAGAAAAATGAGAAAAAATATTCTTTGATCATAACTTATTTAAAATAATAATAATTATGCTGCATGCAAAAGCATCTCACCATCTAAGCCAGACTCGCTGTTCCTTTCACAAGAGATGTAAGCAAATCGGACTAAAGCCATATAAATATAACAAAATTTTAGTGTAGTGATCATTTTAAACATTTGCATTTTAAAGATCAGGCTTAATTATTCTCTGATTCATTTGGCGTAACATACACACTGATACAAGTATCATGAGGGCCACAGAACGAGTTTTACACAACATTATACATTGTAAACATAAAGCAATATCTACAATTGTTAAACAAGCGAAGGTGAAGCAAGGAAAACAGGAAGGGGGAAGTGTGAGGAAGGCGTACAGCATTGTATTTCTGTAGAGGAGATCTGAGCACTGTCTCAGATTTCTGTCTCCTGCTCAACGCTGAGATATGATTTTTACTGCCCTCTTATCCCTTCCTCCATTTCCACTTCTTTTAATGGACTGTAAAAATGTAGATAAGTAGAAGGATGGAGAGAGAGAGAGGAAAAGAGAAAGATTCACAGAGCTAACCTGTTTCATAAAATATTAAATTGTACAAGCAGTGAATCAGCTTTGCAGTGTCAGAGCTGGATGGTTATATACAATAATTGGCCAAATAAAAAATTCAGGAGCATGCACACATGAATTAGTGCACAATTAAAAACATCTGTCTATGATTCTCTCTTTGTGTTTACTGACACTTTACTACTATTCGCTATGTTCTCTTTTATATATATATATATATATATATATATATCACAATGCAAAAATCTAATTCATACTCCAAAAATAATATATATACAGTATATATAATTAATAATATATAAATAATAATAATATATATATATAATTTTTGGAGTATGCATTAGTTTTTTGCATTGTGACTTCATTTTTAAACAGTATACAACCAAATTCTTATTCTGTTTTTACTCTTTTACTCTTCTACATATTTTATTATACATGACCATACTGTACTTTTTTAATGCTTTTATTTACTGCTTTATCTGACAAGTTTTGAGCTAAAATCATGTAAGGATGTGATTTTCAGTAAAATCTAGGAGTAAAATTTCCACCTGATGCAGGAGAGAAATGCAGAAATTTGCTGTGAATGCAGTCAACATAGTGGAAGTGAATGTTTGGAATGCTTTTGTGCAACATTAATATGACCACTAGATAGTACCAAACACTTAGTTCAACTTTAATACATATAAACGTAATAAATGGACGAATAAATAAAACAAACAGAGAATAGAATACATGGGGGGGGGG